ATTACAGCACAACCTATGATAGGGTTTGACACAATAGAATTGGAAATCCTCCATTGAGGTCTATAATGATCTATATAAATCTAGATCTAGATCTAGATTCTATTAGAACAAGAGAGTCGGACTTTTGAATGAATCCACACGATCTGAACAATTGAATTAGTCAACAAACGAAATTCAAAATGGCCGCTCGAGCACGAAACTGAAAGTAGATAATTTAGGTTGTCGTCCTTTTCCGTATTCGCATTTCTACTTAGGTTCCGACAATTATGTCGGAAACGCCGACGTCGGCAGTCGGCGGTGCGCGCGTCGGCGGTCGGCACGAAAACGAAAGTGCCGACGAAGCCGACGGGGAAAAAAGGGGTCGCTGGCAGTCGGCCAGGCCTCACACTACGCACATTGACTGATACAGGTGGGCCTAGCGATAGCATCGGCCGGTTCGCGGGTCGGGTCGCGATTGTCGGATTTCAGACGATTGTCGGCAAACATGCAGGTCTACAGCAGTTCCCTGTTGTAGATCAGGCACAGTTATGAGCGTGACATGAATCAGCCTATTTACAATTCTACTGTGCTTGAACGAGAAATGTCCCCCCTTTGGGAATGGCCTAAAGACACTACAATCAGTGGCACCACCTGGGGGTACATCACCTCTAAGACGCGGCACTCGTATCACCTAATTGTGTTGCAAGAGCCGTAAAACATTTACTAAAACTAAAAAAAACTGTATTACTGTGACTGTCCACAGCACTCACCTTCAGCTTATCCTTCTTGAAGGTGAGACTTCCGTCCTTGATGGTCTGAAGGACATCACCCGGGGAGGGGTTCGAACCCAGGGGCTCCAGTCTTGCTGAGAAAAACGCTATCACCTGTGAATTGGTAAAACGATATACGTTTAAAGGACCAAAACAAACCGGAAACTCATGTATGTAAAGCATCTTTTCCACAGATACATCAGACCGAGCTGAGGTTCAAACCACACATACTGTGTCATTACTATAATAACTACCATCACCATGTACTGTATCTATGCTATAATAACTATCATCACCATGTACTGTATCTATGCTATAATAACTATCATCACCATGTACTATACTATAACTACATCCCCACCATGTACTGTATCTATGCTATAATAACTATCATCACCATGTACTGTATCTATGCTATAATAACTACCATCACCATGTACTGTATCTATGCTATAATAACTATCATCACCATGTACTGTATCTATGCTATAATAACTATCATCACCATGTACTGTATCTATGCTATAATAACTATCATCACCATGTACTGTATCTATGCTATAATAACTATCATCACCATGTACTGTATCATCACATACTGTGTCTGTACTATAATAACCATCGCCATGTACTGTATCTATGTCACTATCTAGGTCACCACCAAGTACTATGTTACTATCTAGGTCACCACCAAGTACTATGTTACTATCTAGGTCATCACGTACTGTGTCAATGTTACTATCTAGGTCACCACCAAGTACTATGTTACTATCTAGGTCACCACCAAGTACTATGTTACTATCTAGGTCACAACAAGTACTATGTTACTATCTAAGTCACCACCAAGTACTATGTTACTATCTAGGTCACCACCAAGTACTATGTTACTATCTAGGTCACCACATCATACTGTGTCTGCACTATAATAACCATCATCATATACTGTACCTATACTATAATAACTATCATCACCATGTATCTATGCTATAACTACACCACCACCACCTACTGTGTCTATGTTACTATCTAGGTCACCACCAAGTACTATGTTACTATCTAGGTCACCACCAAGTACTGTGTTACTATCTAGGTCATAACCAAGTACTATGTTACTATCTAGGTCACCACCAAGTACTATGTTACTATCTAGGTCACCACCAAGTACTGTGTTACTATCTAGGTCATAACCAAGTACTATGTTACTATCTAGGTCACCACCAAGTACTATGTTACTATCTAGGTCACCATCAAGTACTATGTTACTATCTAGGTCACCACCAAGTACTATGTTACTATCTAGGTCACCACCAAGTACTGTGTTACTATCTAGGTCATAACCAAGTACTATGTTACTATCTAGGTCACCACCAAGTACTATGTTACTATCTAGGCCACCACCAAGTACTATGTTACTATCTAGGTCACCACCACATACTGTGTCTGCACTATACTAACCATCATCATACACCGTACCTATACTCTAATAACTATCATCACCATATACTATACTATAACTACATCGCTGGCACGTGGGAGTAGACCAGGTGGGGGTTGTACTGTATCTATGTTACTATCTAGGTCACCACCACTTACTGTGTCTATGTTATAATAACCACCACCACGTACTGTATCTATGCTATAACCACACCCCCACCATTTACTCTGTCTACGTTACTATCTAGGTCACCACCATTTACTCTGTCTACGTTACTATCTAGGTCACCACCATTTACTCTGTCTACGTTACTATCTAGGTCACCACCATTTAC